AAACATTCGGTAAAACTGAGAGGAAGACTTTGATAGAAGCCATAAGAGCGAGAAAGAGTATTGCGCAAAGAATTGAGCTAAAAAGACAAAGGGGGGATGATAGGATGAAACTGAAAGACAGGAATTGTCAAGAGTGGGAGAATAAAGTGGGAACAAAGGGGAAACAGGAGAAGAAATTCTGAATGGGGAACAAAGGAGAGCGAATTTGAGAGAGATTGAATATACTGGGAGACAAAGAGCAGGAGCGAGAGAGAAAGACGCAAAGACAAAGAACAGGAAGACAATGGGATAAGAGAGAGGGAAACGATAAATAAAGATGGAACAACATTTGAGAATCCTTTTGCAAAGTGATTCCTGTGGAATTATTAACTTAGCGCGATCTGGTTGGAGATCTCTGGGACCATGGTCCGAATAATAGATGAATTGTGTTTACAGGGCTGTGTCTGGGTGGATCGGAGGGCACAGCTGATAGATGCAGGGACTGCCACGGTCGATTATTTCTGCACGGTCGAAAAGAGCAGCCATAGACCCTTGACAGAAGCAAAAAGCTTGCATGCACCCCAGAGGGCACACGTCCCCAACGGGGAACGAAGAGCGAGCGTCTGCACGGGAGATTGACTCCCACGCCTAGACCGGCAGCAAGAGCCCTCACCCGTCACCCCTCCTGTTAGCGCTCACCTCCACAGGAGAGAGAGGGAGCAGTGCTCAGGCTGAGGCGCGAAAGCAAGAGCGAGGCTGAACCGGAAAACCTGCCCTTCAGTCGAGCACCTGGGTTTTGCCACTCCTGGGGTCCCTCTGTGTTGCCCCGTGCCATTGAGTGTACTGACTTGGGGTTGAGTGAACATGTAGTCAAATAGCCCCGGGGACAAAGGGCAGCTGTGTCTGAAAGCCAGTAGAACGGGTGGGGCAGCACAGGGTTTTCATTGGCACCAGGGAAGAGCAGCGATGCCCGCGACAGACTGTGGGCACGTGCCGACAGCGTCCCCTTGGCATTCTTCAGTGCTGGCCATTGGCATGCTTACCCAACACCATTTCCACCTCACCACTGCCACCCCACCCCCCGCGTCCCCAAACAGGTAAACTGTCAGCTGTGTGACATGTTTCAGAGACTGTCTGGCACTCCAAACCATTTCCATGGTTACCCGTGCATCCTGTAAATTCTCAGCTCCCGTGACACAGCATCGAAGATGAATTACCAGAATGAACGTCTGCCCAACCCCATCACAGTCGGTGCCATTTTTAACAGGTTTTCTGTGTTGGAGTGGGGGAGGAAGGGTTCTGGTATTCAATGAAGATTCCCAGTGGGAAACCGCAGGTTCCAGAGGGCTAACCTCTGACACATAAACAAAGTGCTACAGATTATCACCAGGTCTTTGGGAGCGTCTGTGTTACAGAGGTTCCCTGGGAGTGAGTCAGTATTTAAAGGGGGTCCCCAGGCGGAGTGTGTCAGTATTTACAAGGGTTCCCCAGGTGGGTGTGACAGTATTTACAGGGGGTCCCCAGGTGGGTGTGTGACAGTATTTACAGGGGTTCCCCAGGTGGGTGTGACAGTATTTACAGGGGGTCCCCGGGTGGAGTGTGTCAGTATTTGTAGGGGGGAATGTGTCAGTATTTACAAGGGGGTCCCAGGGGGGTGGGTGGGAGTGTGTCAGTATTTACAGGGGGTCACCAGAGCAAGTGTTTCAGTATTTACAGGGGTTCCCCAGGGAATGTGTCAATATTTCGAGCGGAATGGTACTGATGTCCCCCCAGCTCCATTATGTTATGATCATACTGTAACAGAGCCTCCTCCAACCCTTTACTCATTCCCACCAACCATCAGTTTATTCCTCTCTTCCTCGTGTTTATCCCACTCCGATGCATCCCCATTGTTCACCTCACCCACTCTATGTGGGAGTAAGTCCCACATTCTCCCAGCTCCCTATGGGGTTCCCTAGGTGGGTGTGATAGTATTTACAGGGG